CCTGGTCCCCTACAGTGCACACCAGGTACAATTGTTTTTCCTTACCAAGTCCTCTTTTGTTTGTTCAGTCCCTCTTCTCTTCCCCTTCCTTTCTGTAAATCCAGTATCATGTTGCAGAATTCTGAGACATTTTTCATTATCTACATGCTTCTTCTTCTTAGCAAAAGCTCTCACTTACTGGAATGAAAAATTAAGACAGTATTATTTTGGAAATTATAAGCAAAAAGCGTGCCAGGCTTAACAATTTATTGATAACATCTGTAGATTTCCTTTAAGTGATTCATGATGTAATGCAAATAAACATGTTATGAAGTTATTGACATAAAATCTTTTAATGATTATTGCTTATAAACATCCCACATATTAACAATTAAATATTAAAACCTAATATTTAAATGTGGAAATTAAAGTGACATGTCACTTGAGAAGGCTGGGATTTCATAAGTTGGCAGCAGCATTGGGGCTCATCTGAACCTCAAGGAATTGATAGTGATGGTGGTGATAATTATTATGGTAGGATGAAAATAATAGTAATATTAGCAGAAGCCTTTATTGGATTTTTATTGTGTTCCTGGCCCTGTAGTGAGTGCTTCCTGCATTGTCTCATGTCATCCTCATAATAAACTTAGGAAATAAGTGCTATTTGTCTTCACTTTACTGATGAGGACAGTATAAAGCTTGCTGAAGATCACAGCTAGTTGCAAAGCCTAGATCCTATCCTGGCTAGAACTCCAAAGTCAGTGTTCGCAATGATTGTACTTGATAGGCTCCCAAATGGTGCTCATGCGTCCCTCCCTTTTAGCTGTACCTGAACCACTACCTTCGAGTAAATAAGGGAATACTTTCTAAATTTTCCCAAGGAGCTGTTTAAAAGAGATAATAAAATCCAGGGGAGACTTAAATGGCCCATATACTAACACAGATCACAGATCTAACAGTATGTTAGAATCAGTATCTTTGTAACTGAAAGCACACCATAATATGTGAAATGATAATAAACATTCTTGCATTAGAGTCAAAATATACCCAGGTGTCTTTTGAATTGTTTCCTGGATCATGTATTTTGAAAGTTTCCATATATGCAATATCCTACCATGTAACAGTTTAATGTGGTTTAAACCATAATTATCATTCATTTTCTGACAATCAGACTTTGAAATCAAATTACATTAGGGCAGTTTTTCATTCAGGACTATTCCATGTTTCCACTTCTCCACTTTATCTTTTCCAGAACCCGCTTTATTTCTGTCTCTGATGCAGCCTTCCGACCTTATAGCTCAAAAATAAAAATCCTGATGATACAGTGAGTTCTTTGGGAAGATATGTGTCCCTGTTTGTTACAGAGTGGTAAGGTGAAAGAGATACAGGAAGGGGACGAGTATGCTTCAGGCTAGTAGCCTAATTCCAGGAGCCCGTATAGAACTTCTTTGCTCTCTGATTTCAGTATTTAATTAATTTCAAGGGATTACATTGCTGATACTTTCTAATTAGGTCAACTGGCCTTTACCATTGTTTTCTTGTCTCTCATCAAAAATCATTTGTGTAAAGAGCTATGCAAGATGTTTTACAAATGAAGTTAGATGAGGGCATTAGTACATCCTATAAATCGGATTCTGTATATTTGTGAACTATGCTGACAGGCAATCCTATAACACAATGAGGTCAAAATGGTCTCAGCGAAAATGGCCTTTTCATGTTGTACTTAAGCCAAAATAAAAAGTGAAAGGATCATAAAGATACCATGTTATGCATAAACATGGTTAAATTCAATCAAAGACAATGGTTACTTTTCAGATGAACTTAAAGGAACTAAATAAAATAAATTCTTAAAATGTACAGCAATAGGATATTCATTAAAGATATGTTTATGAAGAACCTATTGTATAAGCATATATTATATACCATAAAGTATAAGAGAATTATTAAGATGTAGTTCATGATTTTAGTGAGTTTGCAATTTAAAGGAAGGACCAAAATATGCATGTAATTAATTAAATGGAACAAAATAGAACATAAACGCCATGTGTCTGAGGCAAAATTTATCCTGAAAGAACCTAGGTGAATTTAATTGATGTACTAGAATGTGATTAATTCATCCAAATGCAATTTATTGAGTGCCTGCTATGCGACAGGTCACAAGACTGCCCTTTCCACTAAGGGGAAATGATATTTGCAAATTAAATTATTGACTAATTTTCAGGATCCAGGATAGAGAGTTAAAATAGCTTCAGCTTTGGAGTTAGAAAAACCTGAATAAAACCTGGCCTTATCAATTATTCATTGAGTGATATGGGCAAATAGCATAATCTCTTAGCTTCACTATAGAAAGCAGGGAATCTTTGATTCCCTCTTCCAACTTCATCCTACAGTTAAGCAACAAATTAGTCTTTAAATATTTCTTGAATACATCACATCCTCTCTATCCACATCCCGAGTCCTAAGGCTGATCCTCATGATTTGTTTATGAATTCTGTAATCCAAATTGGTTTTGCTATCCCCATATCATTCTTCAATTTATCATAAATGTTGTAACCAAAGCAATCTTCCTAAAACTTTTACTTGACTATGTATAACCCGCCTCTGCTCAAAACTCTTCAGTCACTTCTCATTGCCCAGAATTTGCAAGTCCACGCTTCTTCACAAGGCATTTAAGACCTTTCATGAGATGCAGTCTACATACATTATGAACCTCTCAACCCAATCTTCCTCCATATATACCCTCTGTTTTTCTAACGCCAGTCTATTTTGTGTCTCCGTGCCTTTGCACATGCTATTTATTATGCCAGTGCCTGAAATAGGATTCCCATCCTCACTCCACCAGTCCTATCCGGAAAACTTTAAAATGTTACTCTTCGTTCAGCAAGTTGCTCAAACACCATCTCCTTTACCAATCATTCCCTGATGATCCCAGCACAGGTAATTTTCCATCATTAGTATGTACATAAAGTATTCTCTAGATATACTATATCAGCACAATTCATTCTAATGTCATTATTTGTGTCTGTGCCAATTGCCTCAACAAGACTGAACACTTGAGAACAAAGACAAAGCCTTTCACCTTTGCATCCTCAGTCCTAACGTAATGTCTGCCATGGAGAGGCTGTGCAATTAATATTCATTGTAGTAATGAAGTCAGGTTTGGGGATAAGTGGAAAGAACCAATAAATGCTTTGTGGAGGAGTTGGTATTTGAGGTAGGCCTTGAAAAGCTGAAATATTTCCTGAATTTTAAAAATAAAATTTTGAGATATTAAGTATATTAACATACATGAATGTATATATCTTCATAATTTTCCCTTTAACACATAAGCATTTTGCCATTGAGATTTGTTTTTTCCATTCGAGGCCCCAGTGCGATGCTTTGAGCATGGTGAAGACTTAATGAGTATGTAAATGATTTGATTTTTAAAAGCATCTTACTAATGTCTCCTAGAGGATGCCAGCACTTGATTTCAGAAAGGTACCACTCTGTTTCTCCAGTAACTTGACTTTTCACCTGGGTCGTATGGCTATACACCATACCTTATAGTAAAAATGTTTATATTCACTCTGTATATATAATTTCTCCTGAACATGTTTAAAAAGTACAAGTGAATCTTTGATTCACAATGGAAAACACATGACAATCCTGAGCACCTCACTGCTACTCAATGTAACTCTCCTGGGTAGATCACCGAGTCTGATTGTCAAAGTAATAACTTGAGCATCTTCCCACTCCCAAATCATGTCTATTTCAGGTTATCAGTGATAGTTAAGCTCTTAGGTATCCTGACAGATTTCTTATCTGAATTATTTAAATGGAATTAACAATACTTTCTGGGGTATTCCATCCTTATCCTAATTATTGCACATTTCCACGTAAGTATATCGCTTAAAATACAGGTGAAAAAAAACGACACTGATGCCAATAAAGAAATGATGAATTCCAGAAATCTGGAACACAGTGAAGAAACGTCTATACTGTTGCAGTCTGCTTCGAGGACAATTGTTCCCTTCATTCTAAACATTTATATTTACGAATATTAACCTTTTAATTTTGGTAGCATGTCACGGTTAGGAGCCTGAGAAATCGTCACTGGAAGCCTCAATGTTTTGTTTTGTTTTGTTTTCCCACAAAAAAAGAGCTCTGTGAAGAAACCTCTGTGTTTGTAAATCTTGAAACTTGAAAATCCCTCCGTGATAAGAAAGGTATTGGCTAAATTTGAGGAGATCATGTAGTATCTAGAGGAACATTAAGTGGAATAGGGTAGCATCTGAGATGTAGCTATATAATTAGACATAGACATAATTATATGTGGATTAGGAAGGCAAGCTTGGAAGGGAGGGCTGGCTCCCTTGTATCTCTTCTTCCTGTCAAAAGCTGAAGAGTTGCTCCCAACCCTTGGAAGTTTTCTGCTGGATTTCAGCCTGCAGTCACCCGGTTGACTTGCTCCAAGCGCAGCCAGATTTCCCAAAGGAAGGCAACTTCATTTTCATGGCAAACCCTCAGACCCACGTACCTTCTCACAACTCTGCCTTTCTCGGACCCTGAACCAGCGCGGGCAAAGCAGGAGGTGGCCAGGAGAAGCTCCGCAGGGGTGGGGGGTACGACCCCCTCGCAAACTGCATTTGCAGCTGCCAGAGTAGCCAACAAGCACCAGATTTATATGCACTTTGAAAGAAGCCCCTTCACCATTGGCTTTTTGAGCTGCGCTGTCGCTAGGGAGCTGCGGGCAGGGCGAGCACAGGCTGGGGAGAAGCCCGGTTGTTTGCTGCTGTAATCTGGGAGAGGGGCGCAGGCGTTCTGCACAGGGACGCTCACTCACGACTTCCAGCCTCACGGCCACTGTCTTCCAAGGGTGCCCCCCAGGTGCGGCTCTGGGCGGAGCAGCGGTCCCGGCTAGCCTCCGGCCCCCTGATCCCCGCTGCTGCCACCCAGAGGGTACAGGCACCGTGGCTCCAATTCCCCCAGCGCAGCGCTGCGCAGAGCCGCGGGGGCGGTGCAGCAGGAGAGCGAGATGAATGAGTCCCCCCCACCGCTCTGAGTTGTCTGAGTTGGTGGCACCGTGCAAGGTTTCAGGCTCTCGGTGCCCCACGCGGGACTCCTGGGGCTGCAGCCCACGCCCTCCGGTGGGCTGAACCTGCCACGCCGGGGGAGCCCAGCTCCTGTCCGGCCCCAGTCCAGGGAGAAGGCGGGTGGGCCCCCAGTGGAGGCGCGTTCTCCCCGCCCTCTGCCCGGCCCGCTGTCTCTCCATGGCGTCTTATCAGCAATCCCGGATCCAGGCTTACCTGGAGAAGAACAAGATCGGTCCCCTGTTTGAGGTAAGGAACTGTGGAGGACGGGGTGCCTAGACTAAAGCAGAACACCCTGGAGGGAAGGAGGGGTAGAGAACAAACGCGCAGGAGGGGCGCCCCTTGTCTCCAGGACACTGGTCTGGCCCTGTCCGGACCAGGTGTCTTGGAGCACAGCCGGGACTTCCCTCTTACCTGGGCGCAGACAGGTGAGCTAGGCAGGGCCCAGCCTCAGGCTGCCTGGGGAAGTTTGAGCCATCCCATTGTCCAGCACCTTGAAGTCACATGCCCAGGACCCTGACACACTGAGAAGGACGGTGCACACACACATACACAAACACACACACACGCTCATACACTAACGGGAATTCACTCTGCATTGTATATTGGATTTTTAAAGATGTGGGCAGTAGTAGAACCCAAAAAAGGTGGAAGAAGTGCTTAGCAGTGGAAGGAACACTGTTAACAGGGAGAAAGTGGAACAGGTAAGGAGTGGGCTTCAGGTAGGTGCAGGAGTGTTGAATGAAATTGTCAAACGGAGACGCTGACGTTGGTATCTGGATGAAAGGAGAGTTCTTTGCATTGCAGACCTTACCTGGTTGAAGGGGAGATAAGGGTGGAGAAAGGTTCTGGAAAAGCACACACATATTTATCTAAAGGAGATGTAGCTCCGTGCTGTGTTCTCTTGTCAAAAAAAATTGATGACAAAATACAGTAAGATGAAGGAAGAATGGGGGGACTGGAGAAAATAAGAATGGGAGACAGAAACCCTGCACAGGCCAGGTGTCCCACCAGGTGTCAGGGTGCGGGACAGATGCTGAGGCCCAGAGGGAGGAGCGCCCACTCTCCCTTCTCCAGGTTGAACCGCTCAGCTGGGCATCTGCCTGCAGAAGGGGGACTGTGGGTCCAGATACCCTGTCTAGCCCTCCTCCCCCAAGGAGTTGTGGCCATTTTTGGAGGTCACATGTCCCTGGCCTCTGAGTGAGGCTGGAGCACAGCAGGAGGACTAATGCAAACTAATGCCCCAACACAGAAAGGGAGAGGTGGACAAGGGCATGAGATCAGATAGGTCCTTTCTCTGCGCAGGATGGGTTTGAAATAACCAAGATTGCTAAGTCTTTAAGTTTTCCTGCCCAACCCTAACATACTGTCTTGAAAGACATGACCGTAGATTCTATAGAAACTCACTGTTGTGTTGCTGTAACGTCCTACGTTGTATGTCTTGATTCTTATTTCTGCTATAAGTGTTAGCAAAGGAAGTCCATATTCAAAAGCAAAGTAGAATTGCTGGAACTACTATATATTTTTTCTTTACCTTTAGTGAAATAATGGGAGACTGTAGGCATGGCCATATGTATATTTAAAAAAACAGAAGCATAAGAACCCTTTGTGGTACAGTGTAGTAATTGCATCAAAAGAAACATGAAATAAATAGATTTAGAGTGTTTCTGCTCTTTTAGAATATAAAGTAAAATTTACCACGGAGAATAACTGAATTGTTTTTAATAGATGCTGTTCTCATTTAACATATTTTAAAATTCTGAAGAGTCTCTCCAAGTGATAATAGAGTTTGGAATGTATGTAAACTTTCTACATTATTAGGAACTAAATCCAACTTGGTATTTATCAAGTCCTCATTAAAAAAAAATACTTAACTAGCATTGAGTTTTAAGTGATGTCAAAATTTTCTCATAAAACCATTAGACATCCTCCCTAAAAAAAACAAACAACAACAAAATTATATGCTTTGCATTTTATTGATTTCTTTGGTGACATATTGCATACATCTTCATATGCAGTGACGAGTAGTTTATTTTTAAGGATTGATGTGCACTTAAAATAATTGAAGGGAGAAAATGGATAAGAGAAAGCAGGTCCTCATACAATAATTTTGATCTTTATAGAGCTCAGTTTTGAGAGTAGAAATACACACACTTCACAAAATTGGACACTTTCACCAGCTTGTCTCTTTCATGCCAGAAAACCTCAGTAAAACAGGTGTAAGATGGATATTGTTGCTCTCACATTCTCCTCAATGTTCCCAGCGCTTTGGTCATTGGTTCTCACAACTGCACAGGAAACCAGAGGAGGAGCCAGGATTCTGAATTTAGTAAGAAGAGGCATACATGATTATTACATATTTAATTCCTGGACCATATTGTAAGAAACAGGGACATAAGCTAAAAATCTCCTTTTATCAATCACACATTGAATTGCTAGGTGTCTCCCAAGTTTTATTACCTGTGATTTTGTGTGTGTGCTGAGATACTGGAGTTGGTAACATAGGTTTACTTTAATTTTGAAAAAATACAAGACCTGATGTTATGTTCCCTTTATAGATTTTGTAAATTAGGAATGTTTTAAAAAATTTATTGGAGTGAGGCACCTTAAAGAGAGCATGTAAATGTTACTTAAAACAATAGCAAAGGTGCATGTGCTATTATTGAGAATACTTGTATAGTTTTTTCACCTGTACATCTTATTTACCTAGCTCTTAGTTTAGTTCTTTCTTAGTTTGTTTGTTTTAACATTTTTATCATTTGAGAAGCTTATAAAGTGCTGCACACAATATGGTGTTTCAAAAACTAAATTAAAATGAATCTTGTTTCTAGATGTTTCAGTAGTCTAAGTTCATACTACCTTTAAATGTAACTGAAGATATTTCGAGGCATTATAATACCATGCCTAGAAATCATTGCATTTGAGCCTTCGGTAATGCTATTTTAATCAAAGAATATGAAGTTGCAAAACGAAAATGCTAGTGATGAGTTACATTCTATAACGCTTTCATATTTTTGTAAGATATGACACCTTCAGTATTCTTTTGGCTTATTTAGTGCTGGCAGGTAGGGAAATCTGGGCATCAAGCTATAAGGAATGTTTGACACCGCTTCAATAAATTAGCACTACAATCCTATTTACTATAGATTTCCATACACAACTCCTTAACTGTGACATGGTTTGGCTCCCACCAAAGGGGAGTATTTTTGCAACAGACATAGGCAAGATGCATGGTGTAAACACAAAATTTATCTCAAACCCTAAGGCCAACACTGAAGAATCAAAGAATTTAGCAGTCAGAAATTCTGAAACTGAATAGTTAACTGGCTCATAGCTTTTTATTGGGATCAAGTGATTTATTTGGTTTATATTGTAAGCAGTTTAACTTAGTTTCCAAGAGACTGTATGATGAAGAACATCACAGTAAGTTGATTTTCAACATAAAGAAGTATACAATTATAGTTTTTCCCATTCCCATTAAATAAATAGAATAATTACTTGAAAATTATTGGTTATGAGGATGCTCAGGACAATCATATGTCTTAGTTCAGGCCAGAGCAGACTCACAAGAGTGTAAAATTCTAAACTTAAAAAGCAGAATAACAAGGTCTTCATAAAACCTTTATAGAATTTTTATTAAAGATGTGGCCAACCAAATTCATTACATTTCTCCATATGCTATCTGACCCACTCCAAGTAGAATGGAACCATTTGATCACCTTTTTTTGTTTGGCTCAAAGGGCCTCTATCCACATGGTTTGAATTTGTGCTGGTTTGGCACATGTTGTGAGATGGATTCATGTCATGTGTGTAGTCACCCATCACCTGCATGATTCACACCCTTACTGCTGCACAAGTCGCTTTTCTCAGGTATTTTGCCCCACACTTTCCAGCCACATCTGCAACCCTGAAATCCAGTTGGCCTGGAGAGTATGAGATAGTTACCTGGCAGGATCAGGAGGTGTGTTACGTATGAGACAGGGGAATGTTGAGGAAATAAGTAAATTTATTGAAAACCATGCAAACCAGCTCTCTCACTGATGGAGATAGGAGTCACAAATATAAAAAGGAAAGGTAGAATGAACCTTGTGGTATTTTAATGAAATTGGAGGTACTGATGTGATCTCATGACTTTCAAAAATAAAAATAGATATAGATATAATAGAAATAAGTATAGATTTGTGTGTGTAATGTAAACATAAATGTACACATTTATTTTCTTATTTTTTCTTGCTATGAAGGCCTTGGAATGGCAATGCTCCAGGAGGAGTGAGCACACTTTGTGACCAGATTTTGGGTTATAAATACCATTTTTGTTCATTGGAACCAGGTATCCTTGGAGACATGGTTGATTACAGCTTTGGGGCTGGGAAAGTACTAGATGAACCTGGAAAATCTTATGCCATAATGTAAGGAAGTGGACAAAGAAAAATAGGTACATGTCAAAAGAACATAGAAGTCAGCTCGGAGAAGCTCCTATTAACTAAATCTGGGACAATTTAAGAATCAAAATAAAAATAATGATAGTACAGATTATCTTACTGTATAAAATAGGAATATTTTATTGCACAGTGATAATAAGATACATGAATGTATTCAATTTATAGGGAAAAGAGAAAACTTTATCATATAGTAGAATGCCAATTAACAAAAATAGAAGGGACGATAGAATTAGAAAATCATTACTGGGCAACTCTCTTCTTAATAATTCAGGCAAAAAAACATTAATTGATGCTAAAACAAAAGGGTGAAAAGTGGATGAGGAATGAGATGTTACATCTCATTCTAGTATCTTGTCATCTCTATCTAGCATCTAGATCATCTCAAGTATCTTTTCACACAATAGTTTTAATTACAGAAAGGAAAGGGAACTTTATAGTGAAGAAATCTGGCAGACACTAAGTTACTTAAATGATAGAACAAACCAATATCCTGTGACCCCTGATAGGATGCAGTTAAAACAATGTGGCATTGCTTCTGTAATGTTTCTGCCAATCATGAATGACCTGAATTGAATAATGAGAAAATATTCGATAAACTCGATGGGGACATTCTATTTTCCTGGAGTCTTAAAAAATGTTGAGGTGGTGAAAGTCAAGAGAGATCTCAGACTGAAAAGACATGACAACTAAGTGTAAAATATGATCCTAGAGCTGATACTTTTGCTTTGAAGAACATTATTGGTAAAGTTAGCAAAGTTTGAATGGGGTCTCTGGGTGAATGATATATGGAATGTTTGTGTTGTTCAT